GTCGACAGTGTTGTTGAGTTGTCGATAGTCATGAATTGAAAAACCAAGTGAAAAATAAGGTGCGCTATTAGTTCTCCGATTGAGAACAGTATGCAGTTACTACGTTGTCCGTGACAAGGGACGTTGATGCACTGCACGCTCCGCTTGGGGGTGTACATTATTTAATGATGTGCTCCCGTGTTCCTTTCATTTGCAACCAACTATCGCGTCTCTTTTCAGGTTTCTCCAGCATATTGTATCAATCATATCATCGGCTTTCGCGTCCGAAAAGCAGCTACTTCATGAAGAATTAACGTGTTCTCTCTACGAACGATCGGCCTTACCAATGAAATGATGTTGTCGGCCAATGGAGATACGGCAGCCACCACTTGTCACCCTGGAATCGAGCTTGATTGCATTGTCGGCACTTTCCATTCCATGCGGTACATAGCATTGGGTGTGATTGGCCGTGGGAAGGTACTTGGAATGTAGCTGGAACGGGAGTGGGGTGTTGCTGCACTGGCTTCCTTGACTGTGAGCGATGGCGGAGGGGTCACGTCTTGGGAACCTGCTAGCGAGGTGCGTATTCGTCTGTCCTTATCCACAGACGCCGGCTCATCCACAAAAAGAAGGGGCATATATGTCTAACGTGCGTTGTGGTGGCAATTCAACGTTTCGACGTGTGGCATAACATCATCTACGACCTACGCGACCCACATACCTCCGTTCCCATTCTCTACGGCTCACCAACCTCGCCACCCCGCCATGCCCAAAACTGCTACTAGACTATCGTCCCCACCCACAACGCGCCTTGCTTCTGTATCCTAGAATGCCCGGCTAAACGACAACTCGAAACCAAAGGTTCATATGCCTGCCTGGGACCGCAGCACGATCCATCCAAGCCGAACGAAATGCGTTCAGTTGGGGTACTAACTAGGTCTGAGATGTGTTGATGATGCTTCTGCCGCTACCAACAAACGCGCACCTCATGCACGCAAGAAACGGAAACGTACGAAGGATCCGGAAGCGAACAATCTGTCCGTCCACTCTGCTGGGGAGAACATACCGCTTCTTCGAGAGGACGAGGATAATGCAGTGCTGAAGGAACATCAAGAAGGGGAGATCGAGGAAGTCGTGGCGGTTGTGGAGCGACTTGTAGCAGACGCAGGATCAGGTGCGTTCAGTCAACAGAAAGATTGGTACTCGTGATTGATCTGCTAGCTAAAGGCGGTTGAAACCTGTTCTCGATAATGTCGTTCCCACTCATCAGAACGGCGGAGGTCTTGTGCGGAGAGAGCGGTGTGCCCACGAACTTGGCTGAGCACATTGGATACAGAAATCAGTCACCAGATCTTGCTTCTGCACCAAGTCCTAGAGATATCCAACCATGCGCACAAGCATGGTCTGGGTTGGCTTTGCTCTCTCGGCCTGTGCCTCTTAGAATAATTTTGGATCGCTTCTGGAGCAGGGGCACATGGGTAAGGACGCCTGGGGCCAATCACAACCATACCGCAGCGTATGTTCAAGAGAGGAAACCTTTCCTACACGGCTGCCAGAGCGTCCGTCTGATCTTCGGGCACTCTTTGGTATATGCGCAACGGAACCAACCCACAAGCAGTACTTCTTACACCTGGTGTCCTAGGTTCGCGATACACATGTAAAACCATTTGTTCCGTGTAGTGTATTTTATACACGAGTTTGGCGCCGAAACAAGCCATCCAATCAACAAGGCAGTGCGGGCACCTGGTTGAAATCGTTCGACCACATCGCCCTTGTTGTTATGGACTCTAGAGCCCGATCTTCTTCATTCAATCGGCGCAGGTGACTCCTTGATGCAATGTCTTTCTCGGGCTTGGCATCTCAACGAATTCTGATCCTCTTTGGTCGGATCTGGGGCAGCAATCGCCTGCACACTAGCAATTAATTCCTCTTAGACAATTGGCGACCCAAATCACGTATATATATACATCACTGGTTGCAATCGGGAATAGGCAACCCCCTTGCCTTGCTGCTTTGAGGGTGATTACAATGTTTTCCCTCCTCGCTGTCCTCGCTCTAGCTTGCACCCATGCTCTAGGTATCAGCCTGGGCTTGATTCTTCCCGGCAACAATGTCTGGCACTCTTTGACTTACACGTACGAAGGATTCAACCTCGTTCTGAGGAATCTTCTCATTCAGTTACAGTATCACCGTTCCTCCTGGCCCGAGCTCGGCCGTGACGTCTGGGCCTTGGTTCTTCTGGGCAGGGCTTCAACCAGAGGGCGGAGGAGTCGTCCAGCCTGTTCTGCAGTGGGGTGAAAGCCCGCCCAGCGGTGAGGTCAACCCCAACGCAGCTTTTCCCCATATTTACCAGGTACGTATTTGACCTGCCGTTTTGTTATCTGGCCTGACTTCTGGTGCCCTTTTCAGATGGTGCTGTGGACTGTACCCGCCGGGGATAAGAACAATGATCAGGCGCGTCATCCTGAGTTGGTATCTCTCTCGAAGGCTGACACTCTCAATAGAGCGCAATCAGCCAGGGCATTTGGGCGGACGAGGGAGCCAAGATAACCAGCACGGTCACCTTCTCCGGAGGAAAATGGACTCAGACGGCGAAAGTTGTGAGCGGTGGTGGATCTGGTAATTCTGTCAGCCAGACCATTACAGCCACACGTGCGTATTCGAAGCAACACAGTATATGTTTCGATCGTTAATGGATTTGAGCAGAATACTTCGACATGAACGGTGCCACTGATTCTCATGCGAACTTTTTCGTTATCGAGTCCGAGTTGGATGGGCAGCAGACCGGCGACTGGAACTTTGATGTCGTCTTTACCGATATCTCACTGACAGCCATGACAACCAATGGCGTCAGCGCGCTTTGCTCTGGTGCGACCTCTCACTCCGACGGTAACGGATTCATCACTATTTCGGGGTATTCACTTTCCTCTGACGGAAAGACCTGCAATTGGAACAAGATAACGCTGTCTCCTCCGTAATCTTGTTCAAAGAATAAATTTCTTGGATCATGTTAAGTAACAATAGCAGTAATGCTATGACTTGAATGCAATGCGGCCCATCTATGAAGAAGCCGATGTCATTTTCGTCGTCAGGCTTTTAGTGCAGCTGTCCGAGCCATCTGCCACAGCTTCTCCTTGTCCCCACTCTCCTCTACCAAACCACGGAAAAATCCACCATCCTTTTCTAACAGCCTCAAAGGGCTGTCAAATTCAACAAGTTTTCCTGCATCAAGGACCATAATCTTGTCGTAATCCGCGATTGTCTGCAAACGATGGGCAATGGTGATGAGAGTGGCATGTTCCAGTTCGGAGCGGATTGATGTTTGAATCGCATTGTCGGTTTCCGCATCTACAGACGCAGTGGCTTCATCGAGAATCAAAACTTTTGCGCCACGAACGATCGCTCTTGCTAATGCAATAATTTGTCTTTGGCCGACCGAGAAATTACTGCCACCACTGGTGACGGCAGAATCGAGCGTAATTGCATCTTCGGACCCTTCCGTTTGTAAACGGAATAAACCAGCAGCGCGCAAAGCGTCATTGAGGATATGATCGTCGTGCTGAGAGAAGGGATCCAAGTTTGAACGAAGAGTGCCTGACATCAAGGTTGGATCTTGGGGAATGATAGTCAAGTTTGAGCGTAAAGCATCCAGGTTGATATCATTTGTGGGCATGCCATCGTAGTATATGACTCCCGTCGTTGGGATCATGCGCAAAAGTGATAGAGTGAGAGAGCTCTTGCCACTGCCCGTCCGGCCGACAATGCCCACCCTTTCCCCTGACTTGATCTCAAAATTGAGATTATCTAGAACGATTGGGCCATCTTTGGAATACCTGTCGTCTAATGAGTGGACCGCACATGGAAGGGCGACCCAACTCACCGTGCACACAGATTTTCCGCCCTGATGGAGCCTGACGCGGGCCAGTACGCGGGCGGTTTGCCCTTCTCAGTAGGGACAGGTTCCTGCTCAATGACCACGTAGTCGAGAATTCGTTCAAGACTGCAACGTCATCAGAGAGATTCCTCAGAGCAAATACACCTCACCTGTTGCCTGCGATCTCAAATTCGTTCAATACTCGGACCCACCACAGAATCATTCCGGCTAGCCCCACCGCCATATTTAACTTTGCCCATCATAAATATCATCGAGGAAACACCAACAAAGTGACCACTTACGCTGAACTGCACAACAGGTCACTAAGGACAAGTCGCACATGTGAAAACTCGCTTACGCCTATGTTACTTGCGCCAACATACGCCTGCTTGTACACCAAGTATGAAGCCAACCCGGCGGCGAACAGCCCACCCAACACGTCGATACGCACGGAAATCCAACGGTTGAGATTATAGAATGTGCGAGCTGGCCTAGAATATATATCGATTCTTCTAACGATCTCCGCTTGGAAGGAGTCTTCCGCGCCATACGCGCGAATAGAGACTACAAAAATCTATGAGCATTTTGGGAAGTGAACAATCACCTAGATACGCACTCAAACCGGCAACAGCAGCCGCAAAATGGTTATACAAGGGAGATCGTCGATTTGACATTTCACGCTAGTAACGGTCAGACGCACATTCACTGCTTGATACCACACACACGGACCTTGACCGAAAGCTGGGCAGCAATATAGACCTGCCCAAGCCAACCTCCCAGTGCAGCAACAGCGATTCCGGGGATTGCAAAGATAGGCGAGAAATAAATTACAGCACCAAACTTCGCAACTAGTGCCCACGTGAGCTCGATAAGATCCCCGAACATTCCAGGCAGAGGACCATCAATTTGGCGCATATCTTGGGTGAAACGTGAGATAATGCGTCCTACGGGTGTGCTATCCAGCCAACGCAGAGTGGAGCCAAGCACAGTATCACGAAGCTGATGGTGTATCATTCTTGCTGCACGGATAGCGCCGAAGGTGAATCCAAGGTAGGTGAAACCGTAGATGATCATGAAAGCCACTACAATTGCGCTATACACGCCGATGTAGCTACGGAGAGAAGTTGATTAATCGCCGAAATTTGGCAATGTATGAGACTTACTACGGCACATCCACAGTATTTTCATTATGTTCATAAGCAGCCGCCCAGACACCAAGCCACCAAGTGGAACTGCGGGAATGGTCATTTCACAGTGTCGCGGAGAATGTATCGGAGGTACGAACATCGTTTGAGCGACTTCGACAATAAAGAAGCCGAGAAGAACCAATACCCAAAAGCCTCTCGAGCCGAATGCGGACAGAAACATTCCCACTGTGAGGAGCTTTCAGCTGATGACATAGACATTTCTGAAATAACATACAGGCTTTCCAACTCAAATGGCCCTCAGCCATCTCTTCCGCCAGCACAAGCTTGCCATCTGCTTTCTTAGTCTCCTTTGGCGGCCCTTCTATCGCTTCTTCTTCTGCAGCTTTCTCTAAAGCTTGGTTGCCTTCTTTCATTTCTTCGCGTAGATGGGCGTCGTGGGAGAGCGCCTGCGCTATGCTTCCTTGACTGATAACATTGCCGTTGCTATCGAGTGAAATGATATTTCCTGCAATAGGGGCCGCTATCGCCACGTTGTGGGTCTATGCACTCATGAGACCAGAAGCAATAAATCGCAGACAATCGTTCCTTACGACCAGCAGAATAGTACGACCCTTCACCAGATCACCCTTGAAGCATTTGTCAATGATCCATTTCGAAGTATGGACATCCAAAGCAGACAAGACGTCATCCAGCAGCAGGAGCTGAGCGTGCGAGTAGATGGCACGGGCCAGCGTGACGCGGGCCTTTTGGCCACCAGAGAGAGTGAGACCCTTTTCGCCAACCTCGGTTTGGTCTCCAGCGTCGAAGAGCGTGAGGTCGCGTTCCAGAGCACATTGCTGAATGACTACAGGCGGGTCAGAATCAGATCGACGGCGTGGGATGATAAGCGAGACGAACCCTTGTTATACCGGTCTTCGTCAAAGGGCTCACCAAAGACAATATTTTCCTGGAATATGTTAGATACAATTTCAGTTACATACAGAATCCAGGATTCACCCTGATAGTCTCATTCTGTAGCCAAGATTCTTGTGCAGCATACGCTACCCTCTTATCCCGGGGCAAGTTGAACCATGAGTCAGGTCCAGACGGCTGGAAGTGCATCTCTCCCAACAAAGCCATCAGAATAGATGTCTTCCCTGACCCTGTCGGTCCCACAATCAAATTGACTGTATTGGGCTTGAAGATCAAATCTTCTAAGTGCAAACGAAAATTGCGTCGTCCTGGAGTAGGCGTGCCTTGTTTCACGTCGTTCCAGGTGAAAGTGGCGTTGTGGAAGCCTACGACTTCGGCGTCTGACGGCCCAGCGGTGATAGCAAGCGCTGCAACGTTCGAAGGTGTGTAGCGATCCAGCAACTCAGTCTACTACGAGGTAAGGCAAGATATCTTCAGGAATACACTTGAGAACTCGCCTTATGCATGAATTCGTTTACGCGATCCAGCGAGACACGAGCAGCAATGATCACTGGGATCTCCCAGAAACAGATGTGCAATTGCGTCCGCATCGAGTCGAAAACCACCATGCTGGAGAAGACTCTGGATGCCGTGAGGGGTTGCCTCATTACCAAAGACTGTATCTACCAGTAAGCAACACGTTTGAAAATGAGAGAATCATACGCACGTAGAAAGCGAAGGTGATGATCATGGTGACGAGAGGGATACCAAAACTAGCCAAATTCAGCAAAAGCGCTTTTTGACAGAAGGCTGCTTACTTGAGATTCAAGTTCGCCAGATGCATGATCTGCCTCTGCTTCACATACTTGAGCTCTTCGTCCCGCTTCTCCGCGATCTGTTCCTTCACCCGGCTCTCCCAGCCAAACATCTTCACCATCCTAAGAACGTTCATGGCTATTCTGATGTCAGCATTCACTCCAACATGCACGACACTGTGCGACGTACTCTCAGTAATAGCCTGCACCCTCGAGTCCGTCTTCTTCATGCGTTCTGTCTGAATTACCTGCACCCATTGGGCCACTTTGCTAGGTAGCGGGATGCAGGCGATCATGACCGCCATCCCTATGACGGCTGCCCAGCCAAGGATGGCATACAGGAACCAGATCGCGATGAGCAGTTGTAGAGGAGCTTGAAGAATAACGAAGAGGAAGTCACGACCCTCGACAAGCTAGATTGCTATCAGCCTCCCCTCGGTATGACCGGGTACACCAGACTCACGTTTCCCAGATCAGTCCCAATCAGGTTGTTGATCTTGCCCACTAAATGCGAGCTCTTCTCCTTATCTTCGTCTTTCGTTTGCTCGGCCTGCGCTTGCGTGCCTTTCTTCTTTCGCTTATCCTTGGGTGGTGGTGACCCACCAGCGGTGCTTTCCGTCTGTTCCGTCCCCACAGCTGTCTCGCTCTCCGCAGTAGTGAAGTTTTCCGTCCCTACCCTCGTGCCGTCTCCGTCCACACTCTCGACCTGTTCGATGATTTGTGGGTCAGGAGTGCGCGTCCCTGAAGCAGCGGCGGAGGGAGAGGAGGGAGGTGCGTCATCTTTCAATCGGATCTTGAGTGAGTGCTGGAAGATGAGCTGGGTGAGGATGCTTTCGCATTGGACGACCATGCGGGTCTGGTGTTGCATGAGAACAAAGAAAATGACGAGCATACGCGAAAGGCATACAGTTATGAAGATATACATATGGAGGCACAACGAACCGATGATCGGATCAATCGCAAGCAGTGAAACCCATACCCTAGCTTTATATCAGTATCATAGATTGTGTTGTTCAAAACACAGGGCTCACCAAGGCCTCACGTCCGTCACATACTCCGGATCCTCCAAATATGTCAAAAGCCTATTGACCCCAATTGGTCCCAAGAAGCCCGCGAACACTCTTATGCTCATGAGTGTCGCCATACGGACATAGTCCCATCGCCAGACTTCCATCATGCCCCAGAACAAGTACCTGTCCTTGAGTCCTCGTGCGCGACGTCTTAGGGGCTCGAGCCGGTCAAAGGACCGCGCAGCGAGGTGCGTCGCCCAGTCGTAGTCCGCCAGCGGGGGTAGCTGTTCGTAAGGCAGCTTGGGCTGGCTGTAGGCTTTGAAGATTACAGGGTCGAGGAAAACCCAGAAAGCGAAGAGCAAGGGTGGGGCTGTCTGCTCTTGGTTGACGTTGAGGGCTGGGTTGAGCGGGTCGACAGGGTGGTACAAGCGGGGTGTGAGCAGTGGAAGGAGCACGCCGACTAACGTGAGGAGGGAGCCCCTTGTCCAGAGCAGCCAGGATATGTCGCCATCCGCAGGTACACCGGTGAAAGTAGTAAGGGGAAGGAGATTGCGCCAGCCAAAAACGCAAAACACAACAAAAAGGAGGAGGGTAGTGTGAGTCCTGCAAGCCTTGCGGCTCACAGGTCCAAGAGTGATAGCGAGGATAGAAAGGATGGTAGCATATGTCTGCGTTAGGCATTAGTGCAGCATTGGGAACACGGATAGGAAATATATGCGCACGTATGCAACTCCAAGACCAATCTCTGCCCACCCGTCATAGGACATCCTCAACCTCGAATCTCCATCCTCGGGTCGGCCCACCAGTACGACCGCTGCAATCGTCAACCCCATGAGCGCCGCACACCCGACCAGCCTGAGCAGCATGAACGTGTAGATCACCGGCCCGCCTCGGGCGTGTACATGCTCTTCCACCCATGCACGGAAGGTCGTCGGTCGACCAACGTCGGACGCGAGCTTAGGCTCGTACACCGTTGAGTACGCCCACCATTTCTCCAGACGAGTTTTGATGGTCGGGACATGTGCGAGCGCAGTGAGGAGCAGGACGAGGAGCGAAGCAGCAGCAACATAAGCTGGCAGAAGACGCAAGTGTTCCCTGATGTTCGGGGCCTTGTCCCCGTCGAGCTCGGCGATGTATGGTGCTACGGTACCGAAGGAGGAGAGGGCGCGTTCGAGTGCACCCCAGGGGTCTGTGAAGAGAGATTGGCGCATCCTTGTCAACCAGCGAAGGTGTGGTGCAGCTGAGGGTGAGGTGTAGCAGAGCTGGAAGGCAGGAGGAGTCACCATTGACTACGGGTGGTCGCTCAGAAGACAGAATGACATCTACCTGTCGATGGTCGGTGTGTACGTCGTGGATGGAGCGGAACACGTCCGGTTACAGAACGTCGCGCCTGATCCCTATCGACTGGTATCTCTCGTCACCTTCCACTGACTCGAATTGACTCATTTTCTGTCAACATTTCTATCGCAAAGTTCTTTTATTGATTAGAGTTTGTCTTGGCAGGCCATAAGATGCCCAGCGTTACATGCGGTCTACAGATGGAATTTGTGATGCTTCTCGTGTCATCGCGTGGGTCTTATCGAGGCCGGCATGGGATTAATGTCGGTCCCCGGCTCTTATTCAGTTCAGCCTGTGCTGCCATGTGAAGAAGAGACAATGTTCACGTAATTAGCAGTCACAACTCAGCATCCTATGTTACAACAACAGTCCAGTATTGCATTCTAGAAGAGATTGAAACTAGTCCTTGATATACCAGAGTCCCTCCCTTGCAAATTTGAAAAAGAAGCGCAAGTCGAATCAAGTCCATCAAAAAACGGCACCACAATTCAGGGAGGCAACAACGTCACATTCGTCCATTTGCATGTTCGCCCATCGCTCGATACCGAGTAGCCCGCTAGCGTCGCATTCCCATTTCCATCAGAGAACGTCTTCTGCGAGCCACATAACGCAGACACTCCCGTCGAGGTCTGGGCGGTGATGCTCACGTTCGTGAACTGCACCGGGAACGACCAAGCGGAAATATTGTCGCCGTATAGTCTAGAAACGAATGAGCAAAATATCTCATGCAGTTCAAAGCCACATACTCGGATTCCAAGATGAAGAAGTTCGCCGTAAACGCCGCATTCCCCGCAGAGCAGAAAAAGCCTGTTCTGCTCAGTTTGGGTCCCAACGAAAAGGGAAATACGCACTGCTCGCCTGCACCGTCTGGCTCACACTTGCCCCTTTCGCTCTGCCAGCCACCACTGTACTGGTCTGTCTCCACTGTCCATTTGTGAAAGAGATCGTATTGGCGATCTGGTCACCTTGCGCAACCCAGATCCCGCACGACACAGCTGATTGGTTATCGTTATGGTTCACCGACGGCACCGTCCATTGCTTCAGGGAGATACCAAATGAGAATATCATCAATCACCGCAATGGAAGGGAACGCACTACTAGCTGCCAAGCCTCCGCAAACCCCGGATTGTCATTCATCGCACAATTTGAGTACTCACTCCACTCCAACACAGGCTGTATGACACCCAGGGCTCCACACTGGAGCCCGGGCTGCAGACCGGCCCAGAAGAACCAAGGTCCGGTTGTCACGGTTGCTGGGGGAGGGGGAGGGGGAGGGGGAGGGGGAGGGACGGTTACCCTGTCTTGTTCGTCAGCAAGCCCAGAATGATTAGATGGAGATGAAAGTACGTGAACTGCACTAAAACCCAATTATTGTTCTTCGTCGCAGTAGGGTCGAGAATAACGCCCCAAGCGATGGCGCTGGCTAGTCGGATAATCGAAAGAAAAACCAAGACCGAGAGCATGGAAGCGATTAGAAGGTAGGACTTGAAGTCGATGTCCTAGTTGGGTATCGAGCCTTGAGCACACGAGACACAGCGGACTTGCCAAGTTGACCTTAGCAGTCTGTCCCAGTAAGCAGCTCAGAGGATGATGGACCACAACAGAGGATGATAATGACCAGACGTGCCTCGAAAAGAGGCTAATACTTCGGAATCATGGGTGGTGTGACCATCTCCGGTTTGCGGGCAATTGTTCCGCCCGCAAAGGCTTGGATAAGGGACGGCCGAGATGAAGGAAGGTGACACGTGCGCTGAGCGACAATAATAAATGGGATAATAATAACTTTGATTCAGACAATGAAGGTGAAGTACGAGATTGAGCTTTAGAAAGAATTCAGCTGGAGGTCGGTGATGGACGTCACTGGAAAAGAGGCCATCCACCAGACGCCCCCTGTCCTGTCCCTCAGTTCGGCGCAATGGTCCGGAGCTCCTTCCACATTCAGAGCAATTGTCTATCCACATTCCACCGCCATCCCTATGCCTCACCATCCTTCCTGTTGTGCTCTCCCTTTCCAGCTGGCGGATCTCCTGTCCTCTTCTTGCTCGTCTTTCACCTGGTTGCTGTTTCGATTATCTTTGAATCGTCATCATGTCGTCCACTCCTGAAGAATTCAGTGTTGCCAACCTCTTCAACCTCAAGGGCAAAATTGCTCTCGTGACAGGTGGGCACTCTCCACCAATCTCGTGAACAAGGCTGAAGGATATGTAGGAGGTGGGACGGGCATGTATACAACCTCCGCACTTTGATGAGCAATACCGTTGACCACCCGTATAGCGGCTTGATGATCTCACAAGGTCTAGCCGCAAACGGGGCAATCGTCTACGTCGGAAGCCGGAGAAAGGAGGTGGTGGAGAAGGTTTCGGGCCCATTCGGTGCTGGGGAGATCAGGCCGTATGTCTATTCTCCTTTCGATCAATCTTTTCCTCACACTGGCCTAGCCTTGTTCTCGACGTGACCGACAAGGAGTCTATCCTCTCTGCAGTCGCCTTCTTTGAGCGAGCGCACAGCAAGCTCGACTTCCTAGTGAACAATGCTGGACAGGTCGGCCCCACCTCAGACTGGTTCACCGAGCTGTCTGCTCCCGAGCAGAAGGAAGTGGGCAACAACTTATTCAAGGATCAATCCCTCGAAGCGTGGGCCTCCCATTGGCAAGCAAATGTCGGGAGCATATTCTTCGTCACGACAGCATTCTTGGAGTTGCTCAAGAAAGCGTACATCCCCGGGCAGGGCGATGGATATGTGGAACGCTGGAGCCCAAGCGTTGTCAACATCACCAGCATTAGCGGGATAATGAAGCTCGCTCAGGATCACGTACGTTTGTGAAGCATCTTGATCCCCCTGTTCACTCAATTCCATCTAGTTTTGCTACAATGCTGCCAAGGCAGCAGCAAACCATCTCACCCTCATGCTGTCCACCGAGCTTGCCCTGCGCAGAGTCCTAGTGCGGGTGAATGCCATTGCTCCTGGTGTATACGGAAGTGAGATGACGTCCGGCCATACCAATGGTCATTTTACCGCTGCAGCGGCAAGTGATCTCCCTTTTGTGACCGAAACATGTACTGATGTTCGAGTCAGGCGAATGCTGTAGGCAAAGGTCTGACCCCTCTCCCCTCTGCTCGAGGCGGAACAGACCGCGAGATTGCTGGTACTGTGTTATATCTTGTTAGTCCATCTGGTTTCTACACCAACGGTCAGATTATAGGTACGAACACGACTTTTATTTCTCAATGTACCGGAACTGACGATATACATAGCTGTTGATGGAGGATTTGTTGCGACGAACCCTTGAAGGGCAGCGACGGAATTGTAAACAACACAGAAGAGAACGGGCAGAAGTGTAAACAACAGATCAATTTACGCGAAGTCTAGGTATCCGCATTAGTATGGCGAAGGCCCTTCAAGTGGGCTACGAATGAATATCAAGGTTCATAGGGTTCATGAGTCTTGCCGTTCTTAGGCGCCCATGTGAACAAAAGGGACCCAGCGAAAAGCGTCAATACCGTTTTCTCGGAGCTTGTTGACTGCATAGTGCAGAGCCGGGGCACCTTCCCGATAGTCCGGCTTTCGACCACCCCGAGTCATGTATTCGTAAACGTACTTGGCAACGAGCGGCCCGTCTTGATCCACAATCCCCCACTGCGTGGCGATGATGCTCTTATACCCTGCAAGGTAGAGGCCGCTCGCGATATGCACGATCTCGTCAGCGGCGCGAGGATCGGCCCGAGCAGTGTGGCAGGCAGAGAGGAAGGCAAACTCGGCTCGGTCCAACTTCTTGTTCATCAGATCCGCGAGTCGCAAGTAATGACCTTCTTGGAGAGCAAGGCCAGAATTGTAGAAATTGTCAAAATCGTGGAAACCATGACAGCATAGATGAAGGAAATTGTGGTGTTCCAATTGATCTGTCACTGCTGTCACGGTCGCGCGGTCACCGTCTAGAGGGGTGACCAGAGCCGAGGGGATGGTAGCGTAAATCGCAGCCATCTCACGTCCTAAATTTGGCAGATACGCCCGACCCGGTGTGCTTGATTGCGTCACCGCAAGCATACGAAACTCCGTCGGGTTGTTCTTATGCGAAAATGCTCTAATAAGGGCAGTGAGGGTGCTTGTATATGAGAGGCTGAGTAACGAGGCCAGGCTAAGGCTGGGGTCCCGCATGGAGGTAGCAGCGTGCAAGGGGAGCAAGGCCAATGCGCCGGTGGGAATCAACCATGCTCGCTTCTCTAAATTGACCGGAAGACAGGTGCGCAGCTTGTTCCACAATGGACAACCAATGTTGAACCATAGAAAATCCAACACTCGGACAAGCAGAGTGTTGGCAATATGCGCCGAGGAGGCATCTTTCGCCCCTGCCAATAATGCGTGCAGCTCATTCGACATTTGCTCCAGTCCGCTTTTAGTAATTCCGGGCATTGGGACTACCTGAACCGGTTGATCAAGCGTAACGATGAGCGCGTCGCATCTCCATTGACTAACATTGACAATAATCACCGGTCCAGCCTGAGCAGCCTGTCGTAGCGCGTCATACGAGGCTGTACGCATAAAATTTTCGAAGCCGGGAAGAAGGCGGATCTGATCGACTTTTGTCTCCCATGCCAGGGCTAACGCTCGATGGTGTTCCATGTTCGCTTCACGCAGTTCGTCATATCGCTTGTTCCCCGCCGCATTACTGGGTGCGCTTCCAGAATCCATGGTGGTCCTGCTTGTACTCAACTCCAGCTCATGACTGAGATTTTCGAGTTCGCTTGCCAACCCGGGATCCGTATTGCGGAGTTGCTCAACTTCGAGTCGCAACTGAAGGGAAGAACTCCATATGACTGCTCTGCCCTGTTCGAGGAGCTCAACTGCTAACTCGAATTGTTGTCTGGCGATTGCGCAGGCCGCGGCGTCAGTGGCAAGGTTTCTCCAGTGGAGCCGCTTATAACGAACGGTCTGCTCAAGGCCGCGCCATGCAACCTTTGGCAGCATCGACAGAGCAATACGGTATGCTTCAAGCGCTTGATACGGATCTTCCTTGTAAACCATTTCTGCCCACTGGGTAGCAGCATCGAGTCGATCATCTGGAGTGGAGTTCTGGCTGTAGGTAGCCGCTTGCAATGCCCTCAAACAAGCTTGAGAGTCTTGGGGACTCTTCGTAGCACCGTATCGCCGCAAATATGATTCGGCGAGTTCTCGCTGATACAATGCATACAGGGGATGGAGGGGGCCAGCCAAGTCCAATGCCTCAGTGAGTGTTTCTATCGAGCACTGCAGCAGGTCGCCCTTAGGATGTCGAGAGAACACATGATGCATGTCCCTGTATACGCTGCCAAGTCGCATCAAAAAGAGATCACGTCGACTGTGCCCATTCACAGCAATATTCACAGCCTCATGGTGCAGCTGGAACGCACGCTCGAGGTCAGCAGGGAGTCCGGTCTGCTTCCAACGTTCCTGTAAAGCACAGCCGTAGAGAGACAGATGAACGTCATGAAACTTCAGCTGGCCCGGTGTGAGAGTGGCCTGATCATACAGCTCGATCGCCTTGTCAAGATCGATTCTTCCATGACTTTCCGGAGTTCGGTAGCGCAGGGCAAAAGCATGGGCCAGATCTGCTTGCGCACCGGCTCTGTGTGATTTCTCACTTTTGTCAAGAGCCTCCATCAAGCGATCAATGGCCTTATTGAGATCGGTTGCGGCATGCTGATGAATTGATCGTTCGGCCAACGCACATCCAAGATACTGCTTGCACAACGCCATATCACCGTCTTGCATTGCCAATTCGTCTGCCTGTCGGAAATGATTGATCGCTTGATCCAGATCATGAGGATTGGCACTGAGCTCGAAACGACACGCATAAGCACGACCGGCAGCGAAGAAACGTGCCCAGGACGATGGTTCCGCAGGGTCCATAAGAGTGAGAAATTCGTCATAGAAAGAGACAGCGGATTCGATGTGCTCGCGGTTTCCGGTCACTTCAAATCGATTGACATAATATGTTGCGAGGTTCGGCATAGTTGCTCGCAACAAGCCATGATCAGGCATGAGACGCTTCAGGAGATCAACGCATTCCTGTGCAACCGCAATTGCGCGTTCGACAGCTTCTAGGTTGGGGTCGCGAAGATAATCGGTATAGTAAACGTAACTCAGCCAAGATAGACTTTCGACCTCTTCAAGAAGGCGTCCCTGAGAGAGCTCGTATGCAAGTTCTGCATGTTCGATCGCCCGGGTATACAAATCGTTGGCAGGTGTGGTGCTGGCCCGCGAGTACAAAATAAGATAGAGGGCATACTGAGAGAGGGCCCATGGCCTCCACCGCACGTTTCGTGGAGGGCAACGTTTCTCGGCTTTCTGAAACAGTGCCAAGCCTTGCGCTAGTTGATCTATATTACCAGCTAGTTCTCCAGTCTTGGAGATTGTGTTGGCAAGATTCGTAACGCATCTCAACCAAAGATCGTTCTTAGAATCGAGCAGAGCCATTGCTTCTTCGAAGGCAGCTTTCGCCTGTTGTAGGAGAGCGGCGCGTCCTTCCCTCGTCCGATTGAAGACGCCTAGAATATATTCTCCAAGGTCGTTCAGGCGCCGAGGATAAAGGACGCTGTCCGACCCGGTGTAGCGTAGCGCATCTTGTTGGATAGACACGGCGGTGCGGGCTTCCGGGAGACTTCGGAGGTACTGGGACTCCAAATAACTGGCTTCGGCAAAACCAGCCAACGCTGTGGAGTAAGGCAATGCCAATATGGAGGGTGTGCTTTGATATGCCATCCTGAAGTAGTTTGTCGCGGTCGTGAGATCGGTGCGATCACCCATTCGCTCGTACCGTCGTAACAGCTCATAGCCCTTATCAATATACGGCGAAGAACTGGCAATCATCGTGTTTTGCTCCTGATGGATTATCATTATTAGCATGAGCGCGACGAAGTAGCAATGACCGACCTTGCCAGGAAAGCGAACTACCTCCAGATCGACCCGTGGGATAGGAGAGGCGAGCGCCTCCTCTTGGGAGGAGTCAGGCCCCACGCCGTGCAGCGCCATTGTATATCGCCGTGACCCACATCAAGCCACGACCCGTGAATCGAGGACGAAGATGAGTGTTGTCGCTCGTGAATGGTAGGCGCAGTTTATGTTGGTGGTGCTTCGAAGAGCGTGCCATTCTCGCAGTTGCCACTAAGCAGCCATCCAGCTCGGCGCACCGCCGCGCGTAGGAGGAACGTGAAAAGGGACGGGGCCAGCTGTCCATGAAATTTCAACTATCACTGATTTTAACTGACAGCAATGATTATGCGCTTGTGGAAAGGAGGAGATGCATGCCTCTCGGCCTATCTGCCTGCACTGTATAATACGATGAAGAGCTCCAAATGGGGACGGAAGCCTCGAATCAGGGTTTTACGACAACAAAACGGAAGCTTATTGGACCGGATGTAAGAAGCAGAAGATGGACTGCTTTTTTCAGGGACACACGACTTCCTTCACTCCGTTGTCCTCTGGCGCAAATGGCTTCTCTCCTCGGACTGAAGATATATCGAGGCCACTGCGCTGATAATCTTGAGCTCCGCACCCCAATTTTCTGCAATGCAAATCTCGTAGTAAAATCTGAAAACACCGATAAGATTATGAATAAGGATAATGCATGACGAATATCAGAACACCATCGCAGGATATCAGGATACGCAGCCATGGTGTTCTAGATACCAATGTGAATGAACGGTGCCCAACGGATGACAGGCGTATTCCTTCTCCTCAGCTCTTTGACTGCCTCATGCAATGCAGCTGCTGCATCGGTGGGGTCAGGCGATCTATTCTCTCTAGTCAGGTATGAATAGACGACTTCGGTTGCGATCGGGGCATCCTAGAAACATGACAATCAGATCATCTGCAACACCTCCACGGTCTCCTTACCATATCCGCGATACCCCACATGGTTGCTATGATGCTCTTGAACCCTGCAAGATTCATTCCAGAAGCAAGGTGAACTGCTTCATCAGGTGCTCTGGGATCGACTCGAGCGGTATGACAAGCCGACAGGAAAGCGAAGTCCGCTAGTTCGAACCTCTGGTGAGATATGCTGCGGAGTGTGAGATTTCCGTCCCATAACGCGAGGTGAGATTTGTAAGGGTTTTGCCACTCGTGCTCTCCGTGACAGCAGATATGTAGAAAGTTATGCTCCGGTAAGTTTTTCAGCACGTGTCCTACGGTTGCACTCGTGCCTTCTATCACGGTGATATTTTGCGGGGGAATATGCTTGTGTATTGTCGCTTTCTCGTCTGGCCAGCACGGTAACGGCTTGTGTCCTCTCGAGTTTGGACACCCTACTGCAAGCATCTTGAAAGGACCATTCTTACGTTGTCGCTGAGCCCTGATCATCGCAGAAAGTGTTGGGGTGTACGATGGTATCATGACGTCCTGAACTCCGAAGCGGGGATGTCCGTTTGCCATCGCCGCATGAAGGGGTAGGGAGCCCAGAGCGCCAGTCGGCATGAGCCAAACTCGGGTTTGCTGCCCTCTGGTCAAGAACCGCTGAACCTGTTGACATAAGGGCATGCCGATATCTCGCCATAGCATGTGCAGTATTTGAGACACTTCCTGGTCGGCGAAAAAGAGACCTTGCGGATCCTTGCATCCAGAAAGATAGACTATGAATTGCTTCGCCCACATCTCAACCACCTCCATCCTAGCAGCTGGCAAGGGGAACACATGCGGTGGGCGACTCTTTGTGATGATGATACCATCGCACCGATAACGACTGATGTTGATTGCAATAACCGGGCCCCTGTCACCCGCTCCGCGTAAGTCTTGAAATGTGGACCAACCAAGGAAATTTTCAGCCCCTCTGAGCACTCGAACCTTCGCCATGAGATGATCCCATCTTTCCGCCAAGCGTCTCCTCGCCCGGGCAGCTTGTTCGATCTCCTGTGCTTGGCGCTCCTGCTTTTCCGGCGCTTGAAAGATTGTCCGCATATTCGCCTCCAACGCTCGGCCAACGGAATCCATCTCATCAACTAATTCCGGTGCTATTTCACGCACTTGTTCATGGCTCTGGCCGAGCTGATAAAGCTGATTCCAGAGTACGGAGCGACTATTCTCTAGGAATTCAATAGCGCGCTCCGGTTGATTTGCCATGATTGCACAGGCGGCGGCGTCATTGCCCAACGATATCCACTGCTGGGCAGTCTCATACCGGATATGATCTTCCAGCCCCAACCATGCTACTCGTGGAAGAAGCGAAATGGCTGTGGAATATGATTCAAGTGCAGCGGGATTTAATGGAAAATGGTCATGGAGAAGTTTCGCCCTATCTCTAGCTGCGGTCCATCGGTCCATTACGAAGGAGTGTTCATCGTCAGACGCCGCTTTAAGCAGGGCGCTGGCCTCAATCAGGTCTGTCTGGTAGGGCGTAATGCCAAAGCGATGGAGAAGGGATATAGCGAGCTGATGTTGATGATGTGCTGAAAGGGGATGGCCCGGTAGAGTGAACCGCAGACATGTCTTCAAGGCGTTGATGGATTGTTCGAGTGCGGTCAATGCACCAGTCGCATAATATACAAGTAGATGGGCCCTTCCGCAATGGCAGTAGTATTTGGGCAAAGATGGATGGCTTTCAGGTGCTGTAGTAATTGCTTTGTTGAACATCCGAATTGCGGTCATCAATCCTTCTACATGAACCATTTCGCGGGACCGTGCTAGAAGGGCTAGTCCATAACCGTCCGAGACCTGAGATACGTCGAAAACCTGATTATCCACAGCCATGACTTGCTCGAAGTATTGAATGGCTCTATCCAAATCTTCGATACTCTGCTGCTGATCATAGCGATGGGAATCGTACCGAGTTGTCAGTGCATGTGCAAGGTTGGCCATAACATGAAAGCGCTGATGTGGTAAAGCACCATCCAGGGCCTCCTCGAAAGCCTTCACTGCCGCGTCCAAGGCAGACGGATCCCGTTGATGGAGATAACGTTCCAAAAGTGCTTCCCCAAGATCTTGGCGATATCGCCATTGTTCAGCCGGCGAAGCACGCTCGACAGCCTCTTCATGAAAAGCAATTGCTTCATCGAGCAAACTGGGGAGACCGCGGTTTCGAAATGACTGAAACATAGCCTTGCCGAGGTAGGTCAAACGAGCCGACCGGTGTGGATGGGTTTCTGGAAGATATGGAATGAGAGTTTTCAAATCTTGGATCGCTGTCTCCAGTTCTTCGAGATCCCCAAGGATCTCATATCGTTCCACTTTACTTGCGCTCAAGTTGAACCGGATCATAAGCCAGCCTCGATGCTCTCTTGGGACACATTGGGCGGCTTCCAACGTGCATTGTAGAGCTTGGTGCATATCGTCGATCCACGCATTCCCTCGAAATCGCCAACGTTGATGATGGGCCATGGCGCAGATGTTCCATCGGCGATAACGTCGATAGTTGTGTTGGTCCGTTAAACGAACACACTCATGCGCCAGAGAGACTGCGTCGTCTAATCGTTGTTCTTCCTGTGGCGCAAGCGCATTGAACGTTATGAGTGCACCAGCATAATTGCGTAGAACTGCAGCTCGCTCATCATCATCATCGGAAAGATACTCGACAGCTCGTTGCTGATAGACGACACCGTCGCGTGCGTGCTGAAGTTGCACTTCCCCGACCTCATGTTCGGAAATATGTTCACTTGTCTGACCGCGAGCAGACAAGATAATTGCTAGTTGAGGATGATGGCTATCGGCGAGCTGTAGGGCGAGGTCCAGCGGTTCGAACGATGCGAGGAGCGTCCCTTTGTCGCGAACTCGACTCCATTGTTCTTGATAGGCAATGCCCAGGACTGTCAGTCTATCGGGTCGAAGTGGATCGCCAGGTGGAGTAGCCGCCACAGCTTCCTTGGCGAATTTCACTGCGTCCTGGTAATGCTGAATGTCTCCAGTAAAATCCCCTAACATAATGAGGACCTCAGCCAGGGCGATTTTGTGCGCCGGGATGTCGACATGATCCGGGGGTAATTCCGCGAGTATTGCCACGTAGGCATTTTGGGCCGTGTCCAAGTCGCTTCGTTGAATGCTGCTTTGGTACCTGGTTTTAGCAGCGACCGCTGTTTGGAGCAGCAGGGATTGATCCATTCATCCCACAGAACGCAAATGGCCCTCTACCAAGAAGAGAAAATTAGCCCTGGACGAGATTTGTATTGACGGACTGTTTACCTAATGGCTGATAAGAAGCTTGTGGAAAGAAAGTACACTGGCACATGTCCCCCAGAGGTGGGGTATATACGTGCGGACGTGAATGAATCCGGAGGACTTGACGGTGGCGGAGATCGTAGAGCAACAGCAGAGAAAAGTGCACTTTATGAGATAGCTGATGGAAGCGATCCGTCAGGACACTGATAATCACGCGGCGCGTGCAAGCGAAGAAAGACCAAGCACCTATTTCGGGTGATTTGGAAAGGATACATGGTACTTCAATCGCTGGCGAGAATGCCGGTCGAGAACAAGGATGACGACATATCGGATACATCCATGGTTTGGACGAGGCCCACACAAGGCTCGAAGTGCGGGATAGAAGCGCGATAATGGAAACACGCGTATAATCATGTGCACTGGTCTTTCTTATTCGTCCGAGCTGCACGGAATTAGAAATAAATCAACGTCGGCCGAAGGTGTGCAGGGATAGCATATCAAGGGAGGGTACAGTCGGTCTGTCATGTTGGCTTCTCAGTGACGATGTATCGGAGTCTCAACGACCCAGTTTTGAACACTGATAACCTGAAACTGAGGAATTATCATGGTACACGAGAAATGTCTCACAAGCACAGGTACTTCCAGTTTAGGTGATATCGCCGTCTTCATTGCGTCAGCAATACGATCAAACGATGTTGAGAAAGGATTCCCAATACTCCATAAGGAATAACTTGCACGCTAATTGCTTAGCGTATACCTGTGGCTACGCACTACATCAACCTTGATCACGCCAAATCGAGGACGGGTGTTCTTATTCAACCACAGGTAGATAGCCAGAGTACAAATCCTACAGAACGACACTTGAAGTCCAAATGGAAGAAATCACCTGATAAATAGCAACGGATTAAACATTAAAGAATAAGATGTTCGAACAACATACTACGGCGCCATGGGTTCGCTACCAGGATCTGTGTCACGGTCATCATCAAGTCTGATATGACAATCAGTAGAGTGACGAGAAGAGAACTTATCTTAGCTCACAAATAATTACGTTCAATTTCACTGAGAATGCTCAAAAAGTCCCAAAGATACGCGTGGGCACGTGCTGCGCTCGCTCGGTCGGTTTCCACCTTTCGAACAGTGTCGAGCAGAGTAGAAGCGACGAAGCGGACCTTGTGCACTAGCGACGGCCCGTTCGTTGCGATGGCTTGAATCGGGATACTAGACCTGAATAAGCAACATGTCCGCGGTTCGTGGAGCCAGTGCGAACCTGTGGAGGACATGAAGGAGATCACTCGCCACGGTCTCCTGATCCTGCGCTTGCTTCCCGCTTAGCTCTTCTATCGCATTGATATCGTCGATAGCGGTTGCCATGGACATCATCAGCTCGTCCCGATACTGTTCGATCACGAAGCGAACAAGTTGCTAAGACGTTCAGTCAGCAACATCCCGTATGTGAGCAGGCATACGTACCTGAGTGACATAGAGATTTCCCTGCATGACAAGAAAGGGGTCACTAGCATTTGTGCGACTGGCCGCGGGATTATCGAAGTATTCGCGTAACTCGGTATAGGTCGCGTTCCTGAATGCAGCATCCGGATAACTATCAGAGCCATCAACAAATGCGTGTTGATCGAGGCTCGACCGTCCAAGACGTAGGGGTGGTGGTGCATGAGCAAGAGCAGAGACGATGCGTGCGTGGAGGGACTCGATTTCTGAGAGCCGCGCTTGGGCTGCTAGACCACTAGGAGGTGAACGCTTGTCCACGCGGATCCGGACCAGGATTTCCCCGAGAAGGGCGAAGATGCGGGAGATATAGTTCAGGCCCGAGATGATGGCCGTCTTTCCAGGTGGTTGTGGTTGAACGCCAGAAAGTGTGATGCTATGAGCCAGATAAGCAACAAAGGCGAACAAACGGGATCAACAGCTCACTACTCATCATCAACCTCCTTGGGGAAGTGCAAGGTACAGTCCTCATCTCGCAAGCAGATTGGCCTGCCTAACAGTACTGACATAGATTTGTCCGCTGTACGCCAAGCTTAAGCTGTCCGAAAACGGAGGGCTCGCAGAGCACATACCATCGAAGAGCAGCCAAAAGACTCGTCTCCGCACCTCTGTCTCTATAGGATCACAGGCGGCATAACTGCTTTCCTCATGCATATGCAAGGTGACAGCTATATGCTGAGCTTCCCCAAAAGAAGCGTGCGACGTGGCATCATGACCCTCGCTGTAACATCGTTAGGAGCCACACTCAGTCCGAACATAACGCTGCTAACCAGAAGTGATAAACTGTATCACTGCATGGCACCGTCAGCCGGGTGTCTTGCCGTTTCTGCTAGGAACTCACAAGTAGCGAATAACGACCATGATGCTCATGGGCGGATCGTACTTTGCGACAGTGACGTGCCTGCTCGCCTCGTGACACGACTGTGCCAGCCTTCGTACCTCGCGCCTGCTCATGGGCAAGCATGCTCGCGGAACCTGGCGATGACGTTAACCCATTTGCGGACGTCTCGGCAGCTGGGAGACGCACCTGAACCAGAGTTGAAGCTACGGTACTCATGACCAACGCGAAGAACAGCGAGTCCCTCTCTTCTCTTCTACTCGCCAAGTCTGCTAGGAAGCTTGGTTTGTGCACGCAGGGGGTGAGTGGATAAACATATTCGAAGAACAGGCTGAGGATGTGCAGGATCTGTGCCCTCGGTGCAATGTCGTCGATCCTGTGCTGGCGGTTGAAGTGATAATCGAGGGCTGGATATAGGGGCATGTAGGGCTGTCCCACAGTCGCTAGAGGCGATTCGGGTGAGTTCTTCGGAAGATTGTAGAGTGGATAGGTCGGCATACTAGGTAAAGGGGGGAAGCTGGCAGAAGGGGGTGGCTGCGAGGTCCGTGCAGACGCGGAGGCCTGTGATGTGTAGCTCGGTGTTGGAGACGAGGGCGCTTCGAAGTAGGAGGTGGATGGTGTGTAGGTGTCCGCGGCGATCGGATACCGAGATGGAGGAATGTCGAGGGACAACGGCATGTCAGCTGTGGGAGATGGTGTTGGATTCCATGCTGGAAGAGAGACAGGAGGTTGTGGCGGCTGGGATTGTTGACTGTTGCTTAAGGAAATCGTTTGCTTTCCAGGCGAGATGCCGGACACGACTGCTGAGTGCGCAGCGGTCGATCCATTCTCCTGTCCTTGATCCCGAGCATGCTGTTCTTGCAGACGACGAAGATACCTGTGGCAGTGGTCAAGCGGGTATAGTCAAGACGGAGGTCACAGACGCACAAGTTTGGTGGCCCTCGCTTCTTCGGCTGGTAGTTATAGGTGCATGGTATGTTCAGGGCCAGGCAATGCTTGCAGGGAGTGAGTGCAACAACGCTTCCATTCTGATTATTGGTGCTGGGAACGGGTCCGTCTTCCGGACCGGCCCCGTCCCTTGCGCACCGCACCTTGCGTTCTCGACATGCATCGCAGCCTAATGGAAATTGGACAGTGTGCGTGAGAAATGGGTGATGAACAACGCCGAAGAAACGACGACGTACTCTAGATAAGTCGCACGTGAGAAAGGGAGGGCGGGGAAACAACGCCGAGGAAACAGCGACTCACCTGGGACTGCCTCTTCCGCTTTGGTTTATCTTCACCAGCAGGGCTTGTGAGGGTCATATCGGCGTGCCCTTCGCCCGGTGAGAGTTCCGTAATGAAGGTTGGGGATTGCAGGATATGCTTCGTAATAAGTTCGTGAGAGTTATAACCTCCTTGTTGATGATGATGTTGACCAAAGTATTGGTAGGAGGAGGACGCTTGGTTGTTGTCCGTGAGGGCGTACGTCTCCGGTTGTTGCTGCTTGACCCTGATTGCGGGCATCCTCTCCTCCTTCAACCGTCCACCCACGGAGGCGAACAAGTGTCGTGTGGGGAAAAAATAAGACTGTTTTGCGGGCGCGTGGCTCTCTTCCCCGCGTCTAATATCCTGTGTACCGTGACCAACGTATCCGGGGTTAAATTACCCCGTTGTATACTTATCGTTTATGTTAAGAGAACCAGAGTGCGAAGTAGACGAGGTTGAGGAGAGCGAAAGAGGCGAGGTCGTCCACATCGTCCTCGACCGCGAATATCATCCTATTCTACCCGCGGGGCGACACTTGCACATGTCGGCAAATACACACATCCATCCCCCCCTCCCAAAGGCATAAACAACGAATATCGCTACATCTGCCGCACGTGAACGAAGATGTCCTTGTCTACCGGATCCTCTCGTCCTCTTTTTCCAGCCCCGGCAGAGCGTCCACCCCGTCACACCACCGCCCGTCCTTCTGACCTTCCGTCGTGTACTGTCTTCTCGGTCACATCTTGCCATTTCTCGTCACTCTCCTTCCATTAGCCTCAAGATACGCTGGACGGCCAAGAGCTCAACATCATCCGACAGAGCCGCGGATTGCCTCTGACTCTCCTCTTCTCTCCGGTTCCTGGCAGCGCCAGCGTTCAGTGGACCCCGCCTGTATCAGATCGATCGACTGGCGTATCCTTACACTCCCTTACCCCACAGAATTTGTCATTTCCGGCGCACCTCTATCCTTTTGCCGAGGTGCCTCTTTTTCTCACAGTTAACGCGTTGGCAATTCTGTTCTCGCGACCTCTTCTCCAAAAAGGGGCAGCATGTGTGATATTTGCGTTATCCGACCGCCTACATCCAGTATGCGATCGCTCCTTCGTCGTTTAGCACCGCATATCTCGAGTTCCGTCCGGAAAACTCCTATCTCTTCAACCCGTTCCTATGCGGATCACATTCAGAGCTGGGCCCGTGGTTATTTTCGGCGCCGATGTATTCCGACAATGCAGAGCCAGTTGACTGAAATAAGGTTCGGACTCTGATCAAGGCAAGCAAGTTCTGGGAGGGACGTTCGCTTCCTGTTCCTTTCCTGCAACCACCGTTGCTGGCAGTCGGCTTTGTGTGCGCACGTGAGTGAGCTCCTGGAAGTGCATTTCGATCCGTCCCATTGGCTGGAAGGACAGATCATTGCCTGCCCAGGTATCCAGTGCGGACGTCAAGAATCTTGACTGGTTCTTTTCTTTACCTTGAACTGCGAATCTTCTTAGATCGCAGTTTACCACTTCTCCGCCGAGCCGCATTATCACGAGACATAGAGCGGCCAGTGAGGCCAAAGGACAGCGCATGGCGCAATGCAACTAGACCTGAAAAACAGTGACAGGCAGAAGAGGATAGTGACTTTGTCACTTGAATGGAAGATATGGATCGTGACATGGTATTCTCATTGCCAGTCGCCGATATGATACATCGACGACAAAGGTGGTCGGAGAAGAAGCAACATGATAACGAGAACCCTTCTAGAGAGACAATAAGATGCAGTTCGAGAAGAGCAACAACAATCATTTACCTAACACATCGTAAAGGTTTGATCATTTCTTGTTATAGTCGATGGCAAACGGATCGCCCAGTGCTGATCGTACGTGAGAACAATCAGGACAACGGAACGACACGAACAGCGGCGAAGTCACCTTGGTTAAGCTTGACCATTAGCTCTCCATCAATGATTTTCTCTGTTTCTCTCTCCCGAGCTGTCTCTCCCGGAGGGCCGGTCCTCGATGTGCCCTCTCCGTTTCTCCTGCGGCGAGGGGGAGGTGGTGATCCGTGGCCTGCGCGTCGCTTGCGGGTTGCAGCAGACGTATCAAATTGAAGTTGGTTGGCAGCAGAAGGTGACGGAGAGCGGGAGCTTGAGGACGATTCTGGTGAGTTCATGGTGATGGGATGGTGGACAGAGAAAGACAGAGATGATAATGCACGCGTCGGTGAGGCAGGGACAAATACTTCCGAGGCGGACGAGTCATGCGTCTGAGAACAAGCACTTCTACTCTAACCCCAGGAGTAAATCTAACATATGACTGACGGCTTTATTAAGATTACACGGTTACAATTATTGTAAGAGACTGTCATTCATGGTGTCGACGTCGGCAACATCGCCTGGGATGACTGGGTCTGCGGAATGATCTGGAAGTTGCTGGGAACGAGCCTCGTCGCCTGATTGTACTCCCACGTCGGGTTCTTGAGCGGGTAACGGCGGTAATGCGAAAGGCATTATCTCACGTTTCAATCCTTCTTCATCCGTTACCCAACCCTGGGTTATACCATTTTCCTTCAGCTGATTCAACATGGCGAAACCTTTGTCGCGGGGCAGTTTCCCACTCTGCACGGCCCTCTCTATCCGGACGAGCAAACGTTCTTCCCAGGAGAACCATGGATCATTCTCTTCGAAGACTCGCCCGCGGAAGAAGTCGTTCCAGAATGCGAACGCGACACTCAGCCGATAGTTTGCAACTGCAGCGCGTATTGCCAGATGAACGAGAGAATCATTTACCTTGCGATGCTGGTTCTTCATCCATGTCATCGTCTCGAAGCTAGTCTGGAGCGCTTGCCGCACGGTGTCTGGGGGTTGTATGACACCAGAAATGAGAGGCAACAATTGAGTTCGAATCATCGAGTTTTTCACGGTCGTATCGAGGTGCGCCATCTTGCCTCTATCCTCGGCTAGCCGCAGAACTTCTTCCGCCAATTCATCGTCTCCGCTCTTCCGTGCATAATGTAACAATACTGCATAGGCTCTGGCACTTGCTCTGTAGTTGTCGTCAAGTGCTTTCTTCAGGAGAGTGACAGCTGCTCGTGGAGAATACTTGGCAGCCGCGGTCAACAACACATTGACATCGTTGTCATGCGGTACTTCTCTCCGTCGCAATATCACTCGAAGGGTACGGAAACCGGCCTCGAGATCGCCTAAGAGAAAATGGCAGTGCGCTATAGCATTCAGCGCCGTTCGTGGTATCTTGGCCATTTCTGCTCTGCTCGCGACCAGGTTGGACGTCACCCGCTGCGCGAATGCTCGTGCATCATCCTGTGCTCGTTTGTCCAATTTTTGACTCTGGTCTTCCGAGATCCGGACAAAATGTGCCACTAGCTCGGTTGCTAGCATAGCGCTTCCGGTCACCCGCTCACTGTGCGCTCGGTGCTCGTATCTTTCGTACAAAGCACGTGCTTCTGTTGCAAAACCCATCTGGCTAGCTTGATATATGACGTTGGCACGATGGAAGGGGTCTACACGATAATTGTTCCGAAAGATGGTTCGTATAAGGTTCCGGGCTTGAATGATATTGTTTCTGTGGTTCAGCTCTGTCAAGAGAGCAACAAGTGCGTGATTCTGAGGTACTGGGTACACATCCACGAGTACGGGAGTAGAGAGACGCCCGTGGATGAAGGCGATCAGATCGGGTCGCAGGACATGATGGCAGAAGTCGTACAGCAACCAAATGATATCGTCACGGAGAGGCTGAACGGAAGCGACATCCGCAGCCCAGGATGTCACAAGGCCGGCGAGCAATTCGGCGTCCTTTTCAGTTCCCGATAATAAAAGGGTCCCGATGACTTTACTCGCAGCCGCTCGATAGACCGGGTCGAACATGGCTGTTGATTGGAGCGACTGCATGAAATCGTGGGCGAGTTGGTCGTAACCGTAATGCAGACACATCTTTACGAGGGTACCAATCACGACGAAAGTGAAGTGTTCGGCATCGGAGATGGACGGGGCGCCTTCGGCTTCGGTCGGGACTTTCTCCACCTGTTGCATCATGGCAGATTCGGGTATATATCCTTCACCTACGAGCTGTTTGAAGACATCCAACGCAAGTTTGTCGTATGATTCCATCGTCAGATGATAGATAAGGCGCAAGGCAGACTTGGTGTATGATAGTAACTCAGGCTGCACAGGCTCGCGTGGTGAGTCCTCCTGAGTCCGAGAATTGGGGTCTATCGCCCCATTTTCTGTTGTTGCGGATCGTCGAGATTGAATAGAAGTAAGAGCGATCTTTTCTTGGCTCGCGATGCGAGTGAATAGTATTGGATAGACCTTGCGGATAAAGGCAATGGTCGAGTCGTCGTAGCGTCCAGATTCCAGGATAGAAATGAGTACAATATACAAAGTCTCTCGATCGACATGAGGAGGGATGGAGTCCTTGTACTCGTCGGATACGCGTTCCCAAATGTCGAGGATTTTGGTGTGAGGTACGAGGTTGGATTCGGGGTGATAGGACAAGGATTGGAGGCAGAGATGAAGCAATAGGCCTGCATCCGGATCCCAAGTCGTCATGATTAGGATGTCGTCTAGAATGAGTTGAGGCAGTCGGGGCATTTCTCGATGGTTCTCGACGGAAAAACGAAACAGGTCCAGGAGGGATTCTTTGGACAGACGTTGGATCCACATGGGTGACCGCGCTCGTAGCGAAAGATAAAGATCGCGAGGATTGACATCGGGAGCGATGGGATAAAATTCGACGGGGCTTGCGGAGCAATTTTGAACCACGGCATACAAGGACTGGAAGATCAATAAGATCAACAGATTCTAAGATGCCTCTTTAGAACTGCGCACCTGTCTGAGGTCGTGCAGAAGCTTCTGTGCAGGCTTGGAAGGCTTGTTCCGACCGTACCAGATATTGCGTGCATGTGTATAGATATGCCACGGTGGTGCGAAATAGACAGAGTTCACTTTCGGATGTCCATGCACTGCTCCACTCGACCGAAAGCTGCATTGGTTGCTGTGTTTGAGCAGTTGGGAACGCGGAGTGAGCGTGGCAAAGCGGCAGCTCATCCGACCTTAGTAACGGATTCGAACTAGCCACGATTAACTCGTCAGCCGACAGTGCGCAGAGTAGATACCGGCCCCAAAGACGTGGTGATTCAGCGTTATTGTAAGTCGTAGGCAGGAAGAAATACACCGTGACCGTTTGGCCTCAAATTTGGCGATGGCGTCAGGGACTGACGGCAGATCCGAACCAGCGCTCTTGACCGCACACGTTGTGTTCCCCTCATCAATTACACCGTCATGGGAGCCGGCCAATCATCATCTTCACAATTACCCACCGCACTCCATGTCCTCCGCGTATCCCCCGGTTCGCCAGCTGCACTTGCTCACATAGAGCCTTTCTTTGACTACATAGTTGGCCTTGTCGGAGCTGGCGTGGTAAGCAAACTCATCCTCAGACCACACAACAACTCATCGTTGCCTTACGTAGAGCGACCAAAGCCTTGAACCGGACAACTTGGGGAGAATTGTGGACCAGTATGAAGGAAGAACTCTCTCTCTTCGCGTGTATAGCGCGAAGACGAAATCAAGTCGACGTGCGTTGTTTCTCTCCAACACACGTCTTGCCTGACACTTTGCACAGTCGTGTCCCTAACACCCTCCCGTGTCTGGGCACTTGCACAAACTTCAGACGGTTTCGACGATCCGAATGCACAACCCTCCCTTCTTGGCTTGAGCCTTCGCCTATGTGATCCGACCCATGCCTTGGAGAACGTATGGCATATACTGGAGGTAATGGAAGGCAGCCCTGCAGAAAGTGCAGGTACACCCGAACTATCAGTTGTCTATTCTGTGCAAAGCTCACCATTAATGCAGGCCTTGTCCCTTACGGTGATTGGATCGTAGGTTGGTCTGGAGGCGTATTAGGAGCTGAGTCGGACTTTTACGATCTGGTGGAAGCGGTGCGTGAGACTCCCAGTATTCCTCGTTCGCCCCTGACATACCAACAGCATGTGGAGAAGCCACTACGCGTATACGTCTATTCCTATGACTTTGAGTAAGTTTCAACACATCCTCGCGTGGTAAATCCCTTCCTGAAACCGACACAGTTCTATGCGAGAAGTCGTCCTCATTCCCAACCGACAATGGGGTGGCGAGGGATTACTCGGTTGCGGTGTGGGATATGGTCTCCTGCACCGAATACCACAGGTTGAACCTCATGTCGATGCGTCTTCTGCTGGGCCGACCACCTTCCCTGCCCCCCAATCTCGGCCCAGCACCACGATCTATGAGGAAGATGAGCGCGGGGACGACACCTTTGTACCAGGAGAAGTCCCATGGAGTCCATCATCTCAGGTTCGTGCGACTGCTTAGTGCTACCTCGACCACCCCGTCGGCTGGCTCGGACTCACATGGATGTGTTGTACTGGACATCTGTTACCATTAGGTTAAGCAATACCATAATTTACTCAGGGCACTCATTTTCCAGCATCTTTATTGAAAATGCATCCAAGTTACTCTTTCAGGTCCACGAACAATGGATGGATGTGGATGGATGAATTGAAGGTTCCAATAGCATTGTCTTTGCTGCCTCAGGGTTTGCTTAGCTTGGCGCACCAAGCAAGGGTTTGCTGTACCAACCCTACCCCTACCCCTACCCCTACCCCTGGGGGTTAGGGTTAGGGTTAGGGTTAGGGTTAGGGTTAGGGTTAGGGTTAGGGTTAGGGTTAGGGTTAGGGTTAGGGTTAGGGTTAGGGTTAGGGTTAGGGTTAGGGTTAGGGTTA